CCCCTCCCCCCCCCCCCCCCCCCCCCCCCCCGCTTTCTTCCAAGAAATTCTTATTCTTAGCAGTTACAAAATGTAATATGATAATTTATACTTCTTAATTTGAGTGATACCTTGACCTTTGGGTCTGTATTTTTTTTCTTTTAGTGTTGAAAACCTATAAACCTTTTTCGAAAAATCGGGCCCCTTGACTCTTTTAAACATACTTTTAGCATTTGATAGAGTGGTTTGGCATGATGGAGCTGAGAAGAATGCAATGGTAGCTTTTATTTGCTGCTTAAAAGGCCTGTAGAGACTCTTCAGATTGAAAACTGCAGGCATTCTGATTACTTATTATATTCATTCCTTCACTTGCTCACTACTTTTACAATCCAGGCATCCATAAATATGGGTGGGACAGAACTCTGAATGTTTGTGTTAGGGAGAGGTTATATATAAGCTTTTAATACCCAGCTGAAGTTCTGCTAATAAGGAGACTGGTTTAATTATAACAATACCCCAGAGCTTTTTCTCTCCTTGTATAGTCTTACCAGTAAGTTGAAGTGTGCTGCCATTAATGTCTTTAAAGCCTCTAGTGATGCACAGCTTTATGGCGAATGATGTGAAGCATTGATCATAAATTTTGTCAAGAGTAACTTAATAAAAGGGATGACTTGGTAATGCAGAAATAGTCATCACATACTTAAACCTAATGTAACAGCCTTTGCACTTGCCTATCACAAATGTCATTTATGAAAAGCAAAACATCTTTTCCTTGATGCAATGGTTCTTCTTTCAGATCAGTCTTTCAGAAATTCAGTCCCTCTCCAGCAAGGGAGGAGGAGTTGGAAATGTAGTTTTTAAATCAGACATCTGTGAGGAAGGAATGCAAATGCTCTGTGTGGCTCACCATTTCAAGATAAAACTATAATGTTCTCATTGCCTACCTGAAGTGGAGGGCGGGGGAGAGGGGAGGTTAAAAACCAACAGAGGAAGCAAGTTTAACTCAAACAAGGGGAACACTGCAAAGCAGACTCTTTACCACTTTACTTGGCCTTTCTTCTAGTGGAGGATAAAACTGAAATTTTTTATTTAACAAAATCAAAAATATATTTAATCATCAGTATATATTAACTGCTTTCATTTTTGCTCTCTACTTATTTTCCAAGTGCATTCATAGTCTCAAATAGCATAGAGGAGATCCACAATATGTAGCAAGAAAGAAAACTGAGTGGTTATGTTTGCATCTGTGGTATCGCTGTCCTTAATTCACAGGTAGTCAAGGTTTTTTTGTTTGTTTTAGTAACTTACCTGTCTATACACATTATTGGCTTTGTTACAAGCTAAGTTTCTGATCTTATTAATTCATTACCAACTAAAGCTGTAACCATTTTAGGATACATTTTTGGCTCTGGACTTGGGTTTCTTTCTGAACAGTATTTACTTTTTCTTCTGTAGAAAGAAATACTTTTGAAGTCTTGTTTATTTTAATGCACCACTATTCATACTTAAATTGTGTGCATCTTCAGTGAAACCAGTTATTGATTAATAATTTCCTTTGTATCTTTCCTGCATCTCCAGGTAGTATTAATGCTGATTACCAGTAGGGGTTTTTTTTTTTAGCCTTTCAAATGGTTTAGAACAAATCCCATTATGTTGCACAGTTGAATCAGTAAAAGTCCTTTAGCTACAGATTCCTGTTTATACTACTGGAACCCAGATTACTGTACAAGATATTTAGTTTCTTCTTACATGTAGGGTCTTTTGCCCAAGTATTTTATAGTAGAAACTGCATAGCCTTTTTATTTATTTTTAAGGAATACCACAGCTTTAAAGATGACTTAAATTTAGCTCATCTTCAAGGAAGTTTAGAAACCAACCATACTTGTATGGTATCTTGCAAATTAATTATAAGGTATGCTTGACAGATGAGGCACTGGTCTTTCAATAGTAGTACCTGTGAAGTTTTCTAAAAGCCAGTCAAACATAAACGTACCAAACTGTGCTCTTATTGCTACATCAAGTGTTCCTTTTTTAAATCACAAAGCACGTTTATTTTTTTTATTGTAGCAGCTTGATGTAAGAATGTAGTTTGCTTAATTTTATTATTGTACTTGAATTTTAATCATATTTTTAATATTTTAATTGAACAGACAATTTCATTAGGTTCTATAGAAAACCATTCCTTTCTGAGGGCAAGGGATTCCCATGTTCATAGCATTTAAATTATTTTTTTTCTTGGAAGTAGAAAATAGATTTTTTTTTTTTCATTTTTTAAATAGTTCAGTATTATTAACGGTTTCAAGAGGGCTTTTGTTTAGATTTGCACAGATAATGGAGCACCTTTTTAAGATGACTAAATGGGGAAAGATAACTTCATAGTTAAATGTTTTAACCATGATGGCTAATGGAAATTTTAAAGAGCAACTGGACAAAGTTCGGAGTTTTGTGCCTTTTCGATTAGCAGATATTCCTGCTTTGTCAGCATGGTTATATTTTATTGGATTCCTAAGAGTAGACTTCCTACAGTGCTTCAATCACAAATCAACATTTTAGCTCTAATTATATTGGCTTTTCAATATGTGCAATCATTTTAACACATCTAAGTTGAAAAGAAGTGAAAATGTTGTCTGCTAAGGAGGGTAATAGAGCATTTAGTCTCATAAGGAACTTTATATTGGACTATTTAAATAAAATGTATAAAACTTTATTCCCCCAACTGTTGGTGGTAAGTGGCAAAATTTGAGGTTTCATCCACCTTATTCCTGCGTTGCAATTGCAAGCTGCTTTTTCAACAACAGTCATTCTCCTGATTTTTACAGATCATGATTTCACAAGAACAAATTATGGTCATAGCTTATTCTTAAGGGGATGAGACTGTTCTGAAGCACAGTTTCTAGAAAAGAGCAAAGAACATACTAAATGTGATGTAACAGATCTTTGTTATAGATATCTTTCTATTTTTTGCTGTAGTTAAGAAGGTAGAGTAAACTTTTGAGGTTTTAGGTTTCTTTTCCCTTTGTAAAAGTAATCGTATAATCTGTCTACACTCGGCAGCAATTGTCACCATAAAACACTACCAGAATACAATTCTGGAATTCCAATGCAGGAGTTAAAAATGAGACCTTGTCAACTAGAGCTTATTCTGTCTCTCTGTCTCTCTCTCCCCCATTTGAAAAAGTTCTTTTGAATTTTTTTATTGTTATTATAGAATGCAATAATGTTCCGGACCTAGAACAGTAGGTTTAGGGAAATGCACACTGGATGTCTAATGGTCTCTTACATGGTTCTACAATTTTTCTCTAAAGGTTTAATTCAGACTTTAATGGTTACAAAAGATGGGGAAACTAGCACATTGTTACATATCTGTCTAGGATTCATAAATCTAGTTCTCATTATTTTGAGTGGGTGAGAAATGTGCGGAAACCAGGCCTTTTGTTTCTGGCAGATCAGGTTGCTAATGCTTACTTTTTTTTTCCTTAAGCAGTTAACATAAGGCAGTTGGTTTGGGGTGTTTTTTTTTGTTTTGTTTTTGTGTTTTTTGCAACTCAGTTGGATTGAACATTGAGGAACAAAAGGAATTTATTTTAAACCAGAAGGAACTACCTTGGATTAGCTAGACGTGCAGCCATCCAATGTTACTTGCTCCAGTATGCAATAGGGTACCAATAAAACACGGAGAGGGGGAATATCCTTTTTTGCTGTTCTGAGCTACTATTGTCAACTGCTGTTGTACATATACTGTTATGTGTAAGGGGGTAAATATATTTATTATGTTTGTAAAATTCATTCTGTACAATTGCAGATCAAGGTTGCTCTTCTGTGATATACAGGATATTATGTTTCGAAGGCCATGCTTGGAATACAATTAGAGAACTTAGTATTTTGATGTACTAAGACCTATTTTAAGTTTAATATTTTGCCTTTGCAAAAACTTTAATTAAAGATGTTATTTAAAAAATAAATTTGCCCTTTTTATTTACTATTTTGTATATGCATCTGGCTGATGCATTAACAATTGATTGAGCTGCAGTACTTTGAAAGTACTTTCATATCTTGTAATGAAATACTTCAAGGTAAGGAAAGCATATCATTATTTCCTGCCTAGTTGAGTAAAAAATGAATTTGCTGCATAGTTTCTTCTATTTTAACATGGTTCACAATTTAAAAAAAAAATGCTTTTTCGTTTTAGGTCTGGAGGTGGAAATTTAGCACAAACCCAAACCCAGATTTAAATCAGTCCCTTAAGCAAAGAAAACATGATCCAGATCTCCAGTCTGCAATCCTTAGTCTGCAAAATGGTTCTTTCAAAATGATGAGAAACTTGGCAAACATGAGTCCACTGTTTCACTTCATTAATGAAGTCCCTATCTCCAGCCTAGTCGGCCCATAACTATTATAATCGCTTTGTATTTTCTGATTTAATAACCTTGATAGAATTTTCAAGTCTGTTATAAGACCTACCATTGGCTTTAATCAGCAAAAGGTTATTATCTGTTTTTTAGTTGTTAAACAATTCAAAGGTCTTCATAAAGGAACAGGAAGATGCACACTGGATGTTTAATGGGCTCTCTTACATGGCTCTGCAATTTTTCTTTCAAAGTTTAATTCAGACTTTAATTTTAATGGTTACAAAAGATGGGGAAACTAGCACATTGAGGTTGGGGTGGGTCACAGTGAACAAGTGACTGTTCATGACCCTCGCAGTGTGATTGTGACAAACTAACAGTACAATAGCATGTGATGACTCGAGCTTTGTTTATCTGTTTATATTTGAAGCTTTTTGCCTCTTCAGTGTGGTGTGGTGCTCAGTGGAGTTTATTTTATGCTGAGATGAAGTTAAAACTTGAGTGTTTCCAGCTATCTTTCAGCAGCATTTGTATTGTAGTAGATCACTGGAACCAGCTACCTAGAGAGGTGGAGTCCCCATCTGTACAGTTTTAGGACCTGGGTAA